CCCTTGTCTCATTCTTGACTTTAGGGGAAATGTTTTCAGTTTTTTCCCCATTTTGTATGATGTTGGCTATAGACTTGTCATATATAGCCTTTATTATGTTGAGGTACATTCCCCTCTATTACTAATTTCTACTTTATACAACTTTTTTTTGGTGGGAGTGGGGTTTGAACTCAAGGCTTCATGCTTCCAAAGCAGGCACTTGAGCCCACACCTCCAGTCCCTATTTATAGTTTCATCAGAGGTTTTTTTCATGGAAGGGTGTTGAATTTTATTGAGGGCTTTTTCTGCATCTATTGAGGTGATCATGTGTTTTTGTCTTTGCTTCTGTTAATACACTGGATTACATTTAATGATTTGCATATGTTGAGTCATCCCAGCATCTATAGGATGAAGCCGACTTGATCATGGTGTATGATCTTTTTGGTATTAATTCGGTTTGCCAGTATTTTATTGAGGACTTTTTGCATCTATATTCATTGAAGAGATTTGCCTGTAATTCTCTTTTTTTGTTGTTGTGTCCTTGTCTGGTTTAGGGATGAGTGTAATACTGGCTTCATAGAATGAGTTTGGCAGTGTTCCTTCCCTTTCTATTATCATGGAAAACTTTGAGGAGTGTTTGGTGTTTGTTCTTCTTTAAAGGTTTGGTAGAATTCAGCAGTGAATCCATCAGGTCATGGACTTTTCTTTTTTGGGAGACTCTTTATTGCTGCTTTGATTTCATTGTGTGTTATAGATCTGCTTAGGTGATTAATATCCTCTTGGTTCAGTTTTGGATGGTCATATGTATCTAGAAATTTGTCCATTTCTTCTAGAGTTTCCAATTTATTTGAATATAGGTTTTCAAAGTAGTCACTAATGATTTTCTGGATTTCCTTGGTGTTTTCATTTTCCTTTCTAATTTTATTAATTTTGGTCCTTTCCCTTCTCATTTTTGTCAGACTTGCCAGGGGTTTGTCAATCTTGTTTATCTTTTCAAGACCAGCTTTTTTGTTTTGTTGATTCTTTGTATAGTTTTTTGGTATTTATTTTGTTGATTTCAGCACTTATTTTTTATTATTTCTCTCTTTATGCTAGGTTGGGTTTAGTTTGTTCTTGTTTTTCTAGGAGTTTGAGATGTAGCATTAGGTCATTTATTTGAGATCTTTTAAATATATGCACTCATGGCTATAAACTTTCCCCTTAGGACTGCCTTTGTTGTGTCTTATAGTTTCTGATAGGTTGTGCTTTATTCTTGTTAAGTTCCAGGAACTTTTTAAATTCTTCCCTTCTTTCTTCTATGACCCACTCATCTTAGTGCAATGTGTTGTTCAGCCTCTAGTTGTTTATTTTTTGCTGTTTCTTTTGTTGTTGAATTCTAATTTTATTGTGTTGTGGTCAGACAGTACACAGGAGTTATTTCAGTTTTCTTATATTTGTTAAGACTTGCTTTTGTGACCTAAAATATGGTCTGTTTTGGAGAAGGTTCAATGGACTGTTGAGAAGAATGTTTATTGTGCTGTTGCAGGATGGAATACTCTGTAGATGTCTGTCAGGTTCATTAGATCTTTGGCATCATTCAACTCTAGAATTTCATTGTTTATTTTTTGTCTGAATGACCTATCTGTTGGTGATAAAGGAGTATTGAAGTCTCCCACTACCACTGTGTTGGGGTCTGTCTCTGTTTTTAAGTCCAGTAGTGGATGTTTGATGAAATTGGGTGCACCAATGTTGGGCACATATAAGCTAATGATTATTATAGCCTCTTGTTGTATTGTTCCCTTTATTAGTATAAAGTGACCCTCTTTGTCTCTTCTGACTAGTTTAGGTTTGAAGTCTACTTTATCTGATTTAAGTATTGCTACTCCTTCCTGTTACCTTGGCTATTAGCCTGGTAAATCTTCCACTCTTTCACCCTAAGGCAATGTTTGTCACTGGCTGTAAGGTGGGTTTCTTGTAAACAACAGATTGTTAGGTCTTCTTTTTTAATCTAGTTTGCCAATTGGTGTCTCTTGATGGGGGAGTTGAGTCCATTAATATTAAGAGGTATGTGGTGATTCCTGCCATTTAGTAGTTTTTGTTGTGTAAGGGTTTGTGTGTGTGAAACTAATTCTACACCACTCTCTGATTAATTACCTGGTTTTCTCTTGAGGTTTAATGATTCCCATTCTTTCATGGCTATGTTTGTTTTCATCTTCTGGTGTTGGATTCCTTTCAGGTCTTCTGTATTGGTGGTTTATTGCTCATGTATCCTTTTAGTTTCTGTTTATCATGGAAGGTTTTTATTCCTCCTTCAATTTTGAATGAAAGCTTTGCAGGGTAGAGTATTCTAGGGCTAAAGTTTTTTTCTTTCATTGCTCAAAATACCTCACTCCTTGCCCTTCTGCTTTTAAAGTTTCTGTTGAGAAATCTTCTGTTCTTTTCATGGATTTGCCTTTATATGTTATTTGATTTTTTTCCTCTTTTACAGCCTTCAGCATTCTTTCCTTGTTCTCTGTGCTAATTGTTTTGACTATAATATGCTGTGGAGAAGTTCTATTTTGGTCATGTCTGTTTGGTGTCCTGGAAGCTTCCTGTGCCTGAATGAGCATCTCTTTCTCGGGATTTGGGAAATTTTCTGCTATTATTTTGTTGAATATATTACATATACCTTTGTCTTGGACCTCTTCTCTTTCTTCAGTGCCATGATTCACAGGTTTGGTCTTTTGATGGAGTCACAGAGTTCTTGCATGTTCTTTTTGCAGCTCTTGAGTCTTTTGCCTGATGATTCTTCTGTTTTTTCATATGTATCTATTTTGTCTTCAAGCCGTGAAATTCTGTCTTCCAGTTAGTCCAGTCTGCTGGAGTAGCTTTCATCTGTATTTTTTAGCTGATTTAAGGGACTTTTTATTTCTAGAATTTCTGTTTGATTTTTTTTCCTGAAACTTTTTGTATCTTTGTTATACTCATTTTTCATAACTCGTGTTGTCTTCTTTATTTCATACACTTCTTTTTTATAGTCTCTGTAGTTTCATTTTGGAGTTTGTTGAAATCCTCTTTGAGTTCATTTAGTTGTTTGTCTTCTTGCACTTGCCAAATACATTTTAAAATCAATATTCAAGGATTCTTGAAGCAATTCTGGAATTTTGCTTATAATTGTGTTGATTATATATACAAATATGGGGATAAATTGCCATTTAAAAATTACAACTGTATACTGCCCTGGTCTAACTTTGTATCATTTGCTAGTGTCTGAAATATTCTTCACAAAGGTATTGCTTGAGTAGGGGTTAATGTCTGCTTATTCTCTAAACATTGTCTTCCTTCCTATAACATGGTTTTACAGCATTGTTGTTGGTGTTCAAGAATAGTATTTATTTTTGTATGTTGATGTTGTAGCTTGCAATTGTTGTTTTTGAAATATGTGTATGAGTTATTTGGATACAGGAAGGGCACAGTAATGGCATGGGGGGTACCTACTGTCAAAGAAGCTAAAGCAAAAAAGGGTATATTCATGCTGAGTTTCTAAAGGTGAGAAGCATTAGGTACTTACATCAGTCAAGTCACAATGTAGTGATGCTGAGTACAGCTTTGGCCTGCTTAGGGCAGAGAGTGTGGAAAGCGTTTCAGTGAGATAACACGTAAAAAACACTATGGAGATGAGGCCAGCCAGTAAGCCATGCTGAGGAGTGAAAATTCATGGGAAGAGCATTTATTAAAGAAGTTAGAAAAAAATGCTTAAACTGAGGAATGTAGAACAGATACAAGGGAAAGAAGAGCAAAGATTAATGAAAGAAAGCACAAAAAATATAAAGCACTGAAATCATGACCTGTCTTTGGAGCAATTAATAGACGCATTTTTGTTAAATATTTTAATGAGAAAATAATGAAAATACAGAAGGTATTATGGAAAAGATAGTAAAATAAAATCATAAAAATCTGAATAATTTTATACTGATAAACTTGAATAACTAGTTTAATATAAATTTCTAAAATAGACACAATTAAATTGTTTAGTAAACTGGCAATCAATTAACTCCAACCTCATTTTCATTCAGATTTTTACTTTTCAATCTCCCCCTTGCAAAAAAAGAAAAAAAAAGTAATCAGGAAAATGAGCTAGTATTTTTTCAGAGACAATTTATAACTTATAGAAGGAATTATACCCAGTTCATTCATGTGGCCATTGTACCCTTAGATATCTAGCTGTTAGCCTTGTGTAGCTGTGACCAAAACAACTAAGAGAATATGTAAAGTAGGAAAGATTTATTTTAGTTCATGGTTTGAGAGGCTTCAGTCCATAGCCACTGGCTCCATGTTTCTGGGCCTGTAGTGATGCAGTATATCCTACAAGTGGGAGCATGTGGTTGAGGCTGTTCACCTCATTGTGGCCAAGAAGCAGAGAGCGACAGTGATGGTCTGGTGACAAGATATAGACCATAAGGGCATTCCTCCAGTGACCTACTTCCTTCAATTAGGCCCTACCTCCTAAAGTTTCCAGAATCTCCAAAAATAGATTTTAGAGTAGAGTGGGACAAAAATGCTTAATGATTAAGATCAGAATATGTCATTGACTTTTAAACCCATTCTTATTTTTTGTTCAGCGTGTTATGCTATAATTGCTGTAAATAATGTATTATCCCTCTAAGCAACTTACTTATGAGTTCAGCTCACATTTGATATCTTTGAAAAACACATGAAACCTAGAATATGGAATTATTTTTATCCTCTGTGTTTGAAATTATACTCTGAGAGTAACATAGGTCAGTTGTATATAAGCTCTGGATAAAAAGCACCAACACATCATGCTCAGCTTGAGAATACATACATTCACACATGCACAGGCAAGTAAAATACATTGCACATTGTTTAGTGTTAGTCACTTGGATGCAATGAAATTTCGCTCTTACATTCAAGAAATAGGAGCAACAATCTAAAGAAATCTTGTGAAGTGAAAACGTGTAACACAACTGCAAAAAATAAGGTATTGTAAAGAAAGAAAGAGCATAAAATATTATTGGAACACTTTAATATTGTATTTTCAGTGAGTGTTTATGTCATGGTTCATCAAAAGAGTCCACATGTGCTATGTGTAACCCAGCGACTGCGAAATGCCGAACTGATAGATCCATCATTCCAATGGCATGGGCCAAAAGGAAAAATTGTTTCAGGTAGGATTTTGTTTCAATTATCATATTAAATAGATATATCAGAAATAAAAGAATATTTGTATCTCGTACATTTATCCATTTCCTCAAGTCTGTTCTTTGTAATCAATCTTCCTCTGGAGTTAGATATGCCAATATACGTGAGTTACATTTTCCCCTTTCCTGTATTCATTGTAGAGATGCAGCAGATTACACTGTTTGGAGAGTTCACTAAGCATCTCTCTCCCCAGTGCTACTATTTTTCACATGAAATTACTGTTCATGTGACTCATTTAATAACCGTTTTCCTTATTTACTGTCCTATTTCAATTTGAAAGGCATATTTCATTTTTGTTCTAAAAATTTAATTTGATAAAAGCTGATTTATTTTTAGAGTGTACATTAAAAATTATAGACTAGCTGTTTTTTTCTTCTGTCCTTGTTAGAAATACATTCTGAAGATCTGTTTGATAAAGCACTTAATCATTTTCCTTAGAGGAAGTTTTTCTTTACCATGGTTTCTTTTGTTTGTTTCTTTTATTAAGCTCTTATTAGTATTTTAGAGGGTGCTTGTGAATTAAAATGTGCAGTCAACAGCTTTATATTAAAGAAAATATATTTGTACAGAAATATTATTAATAAATTATTTCATAGAAAATAATTTATTTTGTAACATATTTTCATGTAGTTCACGAGTGTACATTTTTATAATGCTTAGGTTGATTCTAACCAGTGCAAGCTTTAATGAGTTAATCTACTTTGTAGGTCAGGTGGTAGTTCTTTTTTGGCAGTACTGGTGTTTGAACTCAGAGCCTTATGTTTGCTAGGCAGGCACTCTACCACTTGAGCCACTTAACCAGCCTTTTTTTTTTTTTTTTTTGGCATTTTTGAGTTAGGGTCTCTTGAACTATTCATCTGGGCTGACCTCGAACTTCAATCCTCCTGGCCTCTGCCTCTGGAGTAGCTATGATTACCAGCAGGTGGTAGTTCTTTTAAGTTAGTCATCTAGTATTCATTTAGTCAGTGACTACTTGGTGGATGGCATTGTGCTTGGTGGTATGGGAAATGAAAAGATCCGTCATAATTTCTACATACTCTTCAGTGATATAGCAAGAACAATTGTGCCATGTGTTCATGAAATCAGCAGGGGTCAGGAAAAGAAACCCTGGGTTTCAGCAGCTTATATAAACCAACAAAATGGTCCAGGTGTAAATATGCCCTTGGTACTTAAAATGTGATCAAAATTAATTTTTTTCTATAATAGTAGCACAAAATATATTTTAAATATATTTTGTAGTTAATATTGAAGCTTTTTAAGGTGAAAAATAGAAACATTTAAGTATTAAAATTTTCTTTTGTATTGTTGCTATTTTGATTTGGAAATTGAAATTTGAAACATTTTCTTCTTTAAGATGTTAGATCTGGCAGTTTATACTGCAAAGTATAGTATGTAATTAAATTTATCCAATAGGTGGGAACAATATTTTCTTTTATTCACTTTCATAATGGAACAATAGATATTCAGGAATATAGTTGTTTGCAGTAAGAATCAGATCCTACAAATAGAGTGTTTTTACATGCATAAAAACGATTCCCAGGGAATTCTGGTAATCTAAGTTCACAATTGTGTCTCGGTTTCAGTGCAGTGTCATAATGTACAGGTCACTGTCTGCCAGTTACCTTTAGGTCAGAAAGAACTGCAAAAGTGCTAATTTTCTTAAAGTTTAGAAAACAGAGTTTTTTTTGTATTCTAGCTTAAACTGCCCTGCACTTTTGTTATTTTATGAGTATTCCAAAGATAGTTTGACTAAAATTGAGACAAGAAAAATCATGTAATTATGTAATTACTTGGACATCTCTTTGGAAAAATATTCGTGCAGTTTAAATATTGTGGACAGTAGGGGAGTAGCCTTACATTCAGTCAGCCTCTCTACCTTTTTTTCAGTATCGTTTGTTTGCAGAGGTAATGCATTTGTCGTGACAAGTTCTGTGCCTCTCACTGGAGCCCTGACAAGTCTTTGTAGTGTGTGGATTTTCCTGCCCTCCTAAACATTCACAGATATGTGTGTAAGCATATATGCATACATATATTTGGTTTTTCTCTGTAATTCCATCCTTTTCATATTTAAAAAATCATAGATTATATTTTATTCTACTTACTATTTGTATTTTGCAGCAACTCATATATATGTATATAATGGTTTATAAAATACATGTGACTTTTGAAGTATAATTTTTTTGGTATTCTATTAGTTTTTATTTAAAAAGTAGTTTTACTTCAGCCCAATGTCTTCTTTAGAGGTACACTTTGTCTTTATTTCAACGAGTTTGTCCAACACTTTCAGAGAAATCATGCAAAAAGAGCTGAAGGTGGCATCCCAGGCCTATGCAGGACCTGTCCTCCACCTGCAGTTGTAGAGCAGGGGACTCTACACTCCAAACTGATTTTCTGCTCTTGGCTGTTTTTCGTAATGTGCTTTTGACATAGTGAGTTCTGCATACAGTAGCTATAAAAATTGACCTTAATCTTTGCAGGTTCTCTCCATGACCCAGTTTAATTGTCATTGTCATACTCTTTGTCAACTAAATAACTCAATAAATTTAATAAACCCATAACTCTGAGTTTCGCAATAAACCTGTTTCAGCACCATGTGGGAGAAGCAGTAACAAATCTAAAACAAGTCAGCTGTGGTCCTGTAAATCTTTTGTTACATGTTTTCTTAAATGACACATCAATTTGATTTTTGATATTTTAAATAATAAAAACCCCACACCTGAGTGATTATTTGTACTCAGTAAACACTAAATAATGTATATTTTCCTTTCAAATTCAACTTGTTTTATACAACTGGAGCATAGCTAAATGTTTCTCCCTCAATGTCTTAATGGGGCAGTGTCATTACTTTGTCTAAAAAAGTCTAAAAGTCTTGATTTCCAACTGTTGCTAAAGTAGGCTATAGTCTTTCATTCTCAGTAAAAATAAATGTTCTTGACCCTTCTATACAAGTGAAGATACATTGTTACTAAGCCTATTGAACCTTCCCATATGCTGTTTAAAAAGTCTCTTTCCAACCATGTCCCTCCCTACTGGCCCAGCCAGGTAAACACTGTCCTGAACTTTTTACAGTTTTATTCTTTTCTTTTTTTTATGTGTTTGCTGTATGAATATGCATGTATGTATGTATGTATAGTTTTGTTATTGTGAATTTTCCTCATTTTCTCCCTCACAACTTTTTGAGATATGATTTACAGAAGTTGCATGTATTTTAGGTATATAGAGGGATATTTTGATATAGGTATGTGTTGTAAAATAATTACCACAATCAAGCTGTTAATATATTAGCCGTGTCATATGGTTACATTTTTTTTCTTCTGTTGAGAATACTTAAGATCAATTAGCAAATTTCAAGTATACTGATTTTTTTTTTTTTTTGGTGGTGCTGGGATTTGAACTTAGTCCTCATGCTTGCTAGGGAGGCTCTCTACCATTTGAGCTACTCCCTTTTTTTGCTTTAGTTATTTGGGGATAGGGTTTCGCATTTTTGCCCAGGCTGGGCCTCAGACCGCAGTTGTTCTAGCTATGCTTGTCATGTGTCTGGGATTACAGGTGTGAACCACTACTCCTGGCCTTTATTATTGTGAGCTACAGTCATTGTGATTGTACATCCAGTCTTCACAATTTCTCATTTTATAATCTATGGCTTCTGTCCTCTTTAGTCCTAGCCCCCAATAACTGCCCTTCTGTTCTCTACTTCTGTTTATTTGCCTTTTTTGGATTCCACATATAAGTGAGATTATGCATATATTGTTATTAACAATGGATTATTAGTTATACATGCATATTTCATGAGTTATTTCAGTGTCTAGCTCATTTGATGTAGCATAATGAATTTTATAAAAAATACTTATAAGTATGTACTATTCATCATTGTTAGATACTGTTCTAAGAAATTTGTACATATTAATCATTTTTTAAAGTAGGCCTTTCAGTAAGTACAACAGTTTTCTCCAGTTTTTATATGTGGGAAAACAAAGATATTGAGGCAATATGATACATTTTTAAAGTCAAATGTCTTTGAAGTTTGGCTTCAGAGCATACATATAGTTACAATTCCAAAGAACCAAGGAGTAGGATTACCATCCAAAGAACCAAGGAGTAGGATTACCATCCAAAGAACCAAGGAGTAGGATTACCATCATGTTGTGAGTTGTAGTAGTTTCTGTCTTTCAAGGAATTTGTCTAAACTTGTTACATTTTTTTCAGCTTGTTGACTTTATGTGAGTAAAGTAGTTACAATATTTTCTTGTTTTTAGTATGGTTAGGATCTATGGGGATGTGTCCTTATTCACTCCTGATTGGCCATGTGTTCTCTCTTTTACTGTTCTCTAAGGATACACATTCAACAATTTTATTAGACCTTTTCAAAGGACTAGCTTTTGGTTTCATTGATTTTTCCTATTATTTTTCTGTTTCCAGAATATGGATTTGTAATATCTGTATTGTTTCCTTAGTTTTGGTTGCTTTGGTTTTAATTTGCTTATGTTTTTTGTTGCTAGTTTTAGAAGTCTGGATTGGCTGTCTTTTGTTTTTTTGTTTCCAACATTTTAGATTTTTTTCTGTGTGTAGTGCTGAGGATTGAACCCAGGGCCTCATGCATGATGCCTCACCAACTCCTCTTTCAGCATTCTAAATGACACTCTTTATTATTTTAGTTAGCTTAAGTCCTAATAAGTAATTTTTACCTTACCCTCTGAAGGCAAGGTAACATTTTCTCCTTGCAAGATATTTTCTTTTCATTTTTAATAATTTGAATTTTATATGTATCTTTTTGTTTATTTTGCATTAATTCTGCTTGGTGTCATCTAAGGTATTTGTATTTGTAGTTTTATGTATTTCATTAGTTTTTGGAAATTCTCAATCACTGTATTCAAATATTTTTGCCTCATTCTTTTTCACTCCTCCTTTTTAAATTCCCTGAGATGCCCATCACACTTACCCAACACTTTAATACAGTTACTCATATTAGAATTTTTTTCTTTTTGAATTTCTCATTGAGTAATTTCTTTTAACCTATCTTCAGGTTCATGATGCCTTCTTTGAATGTGTCAAGCCTGTTTATGAGGCCATTGCAGGACACTTCATCTGTGTTGTTGTGGTATTCTTTGTTGTTGTTTTCATTTTGTTTATGCTTAGTATTTCCATTAGATTATTTCTGTAGTTTGAATTTCTCTGCTGAAACCACTTAGCTGATCTTAGATGCCACCTGTCTTTTCAAAAACTCTTTTATCACATTAATCTCTTACCTATGTGACCATTCTGATATCTATGCTGTTAAATAGTCCTAACACTTCTTGGGAATTATCTTGGGAATGGCCATTTCTTATCTGTTTATGTACATTCTCACTTTTTCTCTTGATCTTAGATGTCTTGAATAGGACAGTAGATATCTAGGTAAATATTTTCTGCTTTAAGATAAACATTTTTTTCCTGCTAATTCTTTAGTGTTAGGGGTTTGTGTTAATTTAGTGATGACTTTTTCTGGCTTTGATGTTGGTTGTTGCTGTGGTTGTACTAGTACACATTAAGGTACAAAGACCCTTAGCGATGTTTAAGGTGTAGTCTAGTTCATTAGACATTGTTTTTTCCCATTGTGTAGTGTTTCTTTGGTTTTGATTTCTCGTGCTGTTCCCCAGAAAGAGTCTGTCTCTTGCAGCTTTATTTCACTGCTGTTTTACTAAACTTTTGTTGGTGTCTGGTAATTGAGAAGGAGGGACATTCTCTGTTGTTGTGATTATGCTTTAGTCTTTGGCAGGCACAATGTCCCTGGGTCTTGGGAATTTGGCATTCACAGTTGTTGCAGCGGGCCCTCCAGCTTTAATCCTGCTCTAGTGCATCTTCTGACTCTTTGTTGAGGATCAAGCACTTTTCTTTTTTCCTATATCCCTCCTGACCTGCAGCAAACTTCTATAGTATTCTAAGTAACAGTTTTTATTTCATCTCTCCCTATAGATTAAAGCTATGTTCCTATAGAAGGTGTGGGGAAAATGGGTGTGGGTGGAATTTTGCAGGGCTGCTGGGAAGCCTGTTTGGGTTTCTTGGAGCTATTTTGTAAGAGTGTGTACCTCCTCCCTGGTCTGTGGTCCCCAGAGGGCTCATGTACTCACACTGGTTTAAACATGGCTTGCAGCCATTCTTCAAAAGACTTTGCTCAATCTTCTAACCCTCTTAGATGGCAGGGAAGCAACAACTCAGAGCCTTGTTCTACTTGCGGGCCCTGTCAGTTCTCAAGTTAGCCCTGCCACCTCAATTCTTTGATAAGATCAAGAAAAGTTGTTAGTTTGAAGTGTTTTCTACATTTTCTTTATTATAATGGTGGAATTGATGCTCTTATATTCACTTTCCATAAATGAGGTGAAACCAGAAGTATAAACTAATTTTCAAAAATACTACTAATAATATGACAGTAAGTTCCTATATGATTTTAGAGCTCTGAGGCAGGGACTTCTAATATCTAACCCAACTCTGTGAGTTTTTAGATAATCAGGCTAAGAAGGGAAAGTATAAACACTGAAGTTAGTGAATTGGTTTTAGTATCTGTTATTTCATGCATTTTTATGCTGTCTAATATTATCTGTACCAAGTTCACAGCCCTTGGCTTCAGGTTCCCATTTAGACTTAGTCACTTAAGGATCTATGAAGTGATGACTGGTAAGTGATATTACAGTACGAGTTCTTATGTTGGGCATGCAATTGTCCAGGTATCTTTTCAAAGTGCTCTTAACTTTTTTTTAAACCCGAAGGTAGCCGGAGGGCATTGTATTAGAGATTGTATAGTACTCTGGCTCTTATTGTTAACATTGTAGTTGGCATTTTAATATATATGTATGCACACACACACACACACACACACACACACACACACACACTCTTCTGGTATGTGAGGCTTTCATTTCAAATTATTGCCGAGGAATGCATAACATCATTGATGACATGACTTCTCAAATTTTTAAAAAATTTCATTGGCACTCTTGTATTATTATGAGGTATTTGTTTTTTGTTGAGGTATGTAGGAAACTATTCATCTGCTTTAGAAAAAGAGGATATTAAGATAAATATGTAAACTTTTATCAAAAGACATTCATGAAGAAATAGATATTATAATAGAAATATATTCTACAATTTTCAGCTTTATCCAGGATATAGATATGGGAATTCCCAAAGCATAATACTGTGTAAATTCCTTGATGGTGGGTATATCATCTATATTTTTCTCCTTCAATATGTGAAGCAGGGTTTGCATGTACTAAAACTCTAAATATTTTTTAAATAAGTTAATACTGAAAATATCAGTTCTAATAACATTCATCTTTTTTCTTAGTTTGAAGAACTATTTTAATGTAAAATGTACAAAATTTTGAATTTACAAAAATTGTTTGCTTAAAATAGATAAAGGTAGACAGTGTATTTCTTGAGATAGTACTTTCAGTTCTTATGAAGTATTAACTTATCAGCTAAGCAAATATTAATACTTAAGACTTTTTCTGGTACAAAACTATAGTTATGAACGTTCAGAATAACAGCTCCTCTGCTTTTAATGGTTTATGGCTTTTTCTGTACTTTAGTATTTGTCTTATTTGCTAAATAGAACAACCTGTGAGATTGGCTATCATGTATTATGATTCTTATTGTACAAATGAAAGAAAGATGAAGTGGTTATCAAAGAGTACATAGTTTGTAAGAGAAAAGGCAGTAGTTCTCACACCTGGGCCTACATGCCTCAAAGGCAGAATCACTTTCCATTTTATAGCATAGCTATCTTCCAGTGTGATACTTGATAATGCATGTTGAAATAAAAAAGGAGCTTACATCTCATTCTGTCTCCCAACACTACAACTCCATGACTTCGTGATCTTGTGCAAGTATGATAATCTTATCTATTTTTTCCTTCTGTAACCTTCAAGGTTATAGCTGACTTTTGCTTTATATCCTGTGTAGTAACAAGAGATCTCTGGTTTTTAATGATTATATTAAAATAACCTTTGTCCTAGGTATTAGTATTCTGTTTCACATGCAGCTTACTAAAATCATAACTCATCATTAAAAATATAATTATTTTATGTTCTGTTTATTTGTATATTACATATAGTATATACTTTGTGCATATATATGTCTTATGTATAGTATGTATATACACGTTGTATATATATGTGTGTACATATTCATACATGTATGTCCTATATTTCTGAGAGCACCCAGTTCAATGCAAGGAGCTCTAGGAGCATAGTATGTAATACGTCATTATTAGTTTCTTACTGCTTAGGCAGCCACACAGTTGGTGAACTCTGATTAGTGAAAATCTGACACCCTGACACCCACTGTCACCAGGCGCCAGATGAAATGGCTAGCTATGACCCCGACTCCTTCCAGTGATTGTGTAGGTATATTTTGATGGTTTTAGTTTGCTTAAAAATGTTTTGATGTTTCATCTCTGCACTGCAATTTAAGCAATGTATATTATTTCTTTGTTAGAAAACAGCACTGCACAAGTAACATCCACGGGAAGTCTTATATTCCAGAACTTCGAAGAGAGTATGAGTGGAATTTACACTTGTTTCCTAGAGTACAAACCTACTGTTGAAGAGATTGTTAAAAATCTTGAACTAAAATATGTTGTATATGGTAAGAAATGAATTTAATTGTTTTAAAGTTTCTTAATGTTTTAAAATACTTTAACAGGTTTGTTTTTTTTTTTAAAATTGCCTGCCTGTATTTTACCTTGTGCAGTTTTAATAGTGAGGCTACAGTCTGATTAGCAGGACATGGTCATTTTTCTTTAGGTGGATGCTTGATGTATATACAAATAAATTAAAGTCTGTGAGTGAAAAGAAGGGTGTAGAAATTATGGGTTCAGTGATGATGATGATGTAGTTTGTACTGCTTCTAAACTCTTAGTCTCATCATTGCTGACACATTGCCATCCTCAAAATCAGGACCATGAAAGACCACTGTGAATTCTTCCTCTGGTTCCTCTAGCAGTTTGATCTACTGAGGCATAAATTGGGAGGGCTGAGTTAATATGGAGTGGTCAGGAGGATGTAATCTGAGCAAAGGTTTCCAGGCTTCTTCACATTGTGGGATCCATGTGGGAGACAGAATACTGGTTCTCAAAAGAGTCCATGTCTTCTGTACAGAACCTGTAAATATGTATCCTGCCTTGTGCAAGCAACTGGCCATTGTGATTACATTAAGGCCCTTGAGTGGGAGAGATTATGCTGAGTTAACTGGGTAGGTCAGTGTCATCATGAGGGGCCTTATAAGAGGAAAGCAAAAGGGTCAGAAACAGAAAGGAAATGTGACAGAATGAGAGGCTTGAGTGACTCGCTGAAGATAGAGAAGGAGCTATGAGCCAAATAACCTCTAGTAACAGAAATGATAAATACGCATATTTCCTCCTTGGAGTTTCCAGAAGGAATGTACCTTGGTTTTAGCCTGGTAAGACTCTTTTTTGAAGTCTTGTAATATAATGAACGAGTTGTTTAAGTCACTAAATTTGTGGTAATGTGTTGCAGTAACAAGAAGAAACTTACATGCCATCCTTTTCACAGCTGGGATGCCAAGCAAATGGCAGGATTATTAAGTGTTTCCTGATTAATTTTTTGCTTACTCAGAAAATACTATTCCATATGTCCAGAAGTAGATAGTTTAAGAAATTCTATTAATTTTTTTCAGGCAAATAATTTGTATAAACCTTTCAACCAATCACATTTCATTTTTGCTACATAGCAGTTTTCTCCATCTTGTTATTGTGTATACAGCAGCTTATCACAAACAGACTTTAAAATTTATCAAAAGAGCATATTTACATAAGCTAACTAAAATAAAAGCACCTAAAGTGCATACTGGTTTGGGTAATGATAATGACAGTTAACACTTACTGAGCACTTACCATACTTGTAATTGTACAACCCCAAACACAGCACCTGTTATGTGTGCAGCTGGTAGCTTCTCCTGGAGGTTGCCCCTGCCTGGGAGCTGGGGACAGAGGCCCTGTGTCTGTCACTGCCAGTCTGGAATGGAGTCTCTTGTCTTTTCTTCTGAGCTTTCAGAGGGTGGGAGTGAGGAGAGTGAGTCTTGGTCCAAATACTTCGCTCACATATTCCTGTTATTACTATGTTTTACCAGATTTTGAATAAATGTGTCTTCACTTCTTCTATGTTCTTTAAAATTAACTTACATGGGTTTTGTTGAGGAGCAGATTCATGGAGCTCCTCTAGTGGATGGTGGGTCATCTGTCTCTTACTTTTTAAAACAATCATTACATTATTGGATTTACCATTTCTTCTTGGATACATTGTAGAAATTTATATTCTTCTAGAAAAAATTTTAATCCAATTCTCCTAATTTGCTGACATGAAGATGTTTATAGTTTTATATAGTCACTTTTTTGTTTCCAGTTACTCATTATGCTTTTTATTTTTCTTATGCTTTATGATGAGTTTATATATTTTAATGTCTTGCTATCTAAGTTAGATATTTCTATATTTCACTAATTCATTCCTTCTTTTATCATTTCTGTTCTCATTTCCTCCCTTTTGTTAACTTTATTATTCTCTTGTAAACACTTGAGTTGAATACTTAGCTTATTAATTTTCTGTTTCTTTTATTGTTGAATATAGTTAAGGCTATACATTACTTTCATTTATGATTTTAGCTATATTTAACAATTGCTGTGTTCATTATTATATTTTCTAAATATTTAGTCACATCTAAAATGACTTCATTTCTAATCTGTTACTTAGTGTTTTTATTTGTTTAAAAAATATCAGAGATTTTATTTGTTGATTTTTATTTTGACTTCATTGTGTCCTTAATGTCATTGACATAATAGTCATTTTAAAAAAAATTTTATGATGCTTCCTTCATGGCAGTAGTCTTTTGACAATTGTATGCATTTTTATTTCCAGGATGCTAATTAAACATGCTTGCAGTATTATTACCCCTTAATTTATCATCCATATCTTTAAATTTGTCTTTCATGTATGTTTAGATATGGTGTATTTTAGGTACTCGGTGTAGCTTACCAAATCTTTACTTAGATATAATATATATGACATTTAACTTGTCTGAGTATTTACTTTTTAACATTGATGACTTTTTCCCTTTGTATTTCAGCAGCTGTATTTTCTATCTCCAATACATTGGATCTTACTTTTTTAAAATCATCAATTAATTTTGTTACAGTAGTCATGTGGTTTTTTTTTTTGGCACTACTGGGGTTTGAACTCGGGGCCTATACATTGAGCCACTCCACCAGCCCTATTTTTGTGAAGGGTTTTCGGACATAGGGTCTAGCGAACTCTTTGCCTGGGCTGGCTTTGAACTGTGATCCTCCTGATCTCTGCCTCTTGAGTAGCTAGAATTACAAGCATGAGCCACCAGTGCCTAGCTGGTTTTTGTTTTGTTTTAGTTTCCTATTCTTAATTTATTCCTTTAACATTTTTGAGATTTTATATTTTAAATATTACTGTAAAATTTTCATAATGTGTATAAACTTGTGTTTATCCATCCCACCACAAAATAAATTTTGCTGCTCTTTTATCTGCTTAGGACTGTAAAATGCTATGTTTTAGTTTGCATTTACTTTAATGCTGTTATTTTTGAGCATCTTTTAGTTATGTTCATTTTTCCTTATGAGATTTTTCTATTATACATTTTACCTGTTCTTCTAATTTATTGTTTTTATTGCTTTCTTTTTCGCTTTTGAATTTTTTTTTGGTAGGGCATTACTGAGTTTTTGAACTCAGGGCTTTGTGCTTGCTTGAGCCATGCCTCCAGCCTTTTTTGCTCTGGCTGCTTTTGAGATTTGGTCTTGCTTTTTTTGCCTGTGCTGCTCTGGAATGTGATCCTCCTATTTATGTTTCCTACATAGTTGAAGTGACAGGTGCATGTTACCTCTCCCAGTTTTATCCATTGAGATGGGGTCTTGTGAACTTTTTGCCTGGGCTGTCCTGGAACTGTAGTCCTTCTGATATCCCATATAGTTGGGATGACAGGAGTATGCCACCATGCCCAGCTATTGATTGAGAAAGTGTCTTGAGAATTTTCTGCTTCACCTGGCCTCAAAACATGACTCTCAGTGTCAGCCTTCTGAGTAGCTAGGATCATAGACTTTATTTCTTTTTGAAATTTGAGACAGGGTCTTGCTATGTATCCAGGCTGGCCTCAAAGCCATGGTCCTCTGCCTCAGCCTCCCTAGTGCTGGGCTTATAGACCTGTACCACCAGGCCTACTCTTGTTGGTTTCTAACTGCACATTGACTGTTCTAAATCAGTGGTTCTCAAATTATGGTGTGAAGTACTTGAAACACTTTTAAGGGCTTAGTGAGATGAAACTAATGTTATAAGTATACTAAAATATTTGCCAATTTTGCTATGTTGATGTTTATACTTACAGTGGAAAAAACTGGCACTTCAACCCAAAGAAGGCAGTGACATCAAAGTGAAGTAATAGGAAACTGTTATCCTCACTGAAAACCATGCACAGTTTTTTAAAAGCCAGTTTTACAATATAAAGTGCTAACATAAAAAGGGGCACAGTTTCACCCAGGCATTAATTTAAGAATAAAGAATGATTAATTTTACTAAAACCTTGGGTTGGCAGAGTGGCTCAAGTGGTAGAGTGTCTGCCTAGCAAAAAAAAAAAAGGAAAGACATGTACTGAACAGTCAGATTTTAGTGCTTATTTTATTTGTTTTTGTGGTAGTGGAGGTTGGACTCAGGGCCTCCTACTTGCAAGGAAGGGTTCTCCTGTTTGAGGCATGCCCTCAGTCCAGCCCACATATTTTCCACAGTCTGTGTGAGGAAATGGGAAACACACAACAGAGTGTGTGTGCATAATGAAGTATGATGTGCTTTTCACAAAAAAAGCTCCTCTGTGGTTTCTAAGGTGTACATTTCTTTTAGATGAAACAGCATTTTTTTCTGAGAAAACAACTGACAAACTGGCTCTTCAGACTTGAGTATGATGATCCTTTGGCAGTACTTGTTAGGAGTGATAAAATTTGTTTTCAAGTGAAAATTAGAATTTTGGAAAACTTGTAGCTGCCACCATGAGCTTGGTAGCTTCCTCGTGTCTGAAAACAGCTGACTTTGATAGTAACACATCACTTCTTTTTTACATGGTTTGGTGGGTTTGGACAGTATTTGGGATCTCTGCAAACCAACAGTTTTCATGTAGCTTTTGCATAATATTACAAACAAAACCTCTGTGAATGGGCAGAAACCTTCACAGGGATGGAGACCAGTATAGAACACTTCATTAACAGGGCTTCACATTCTGCAACTCTAAGAAATCTCTCCTTGTTGAGTTTGAAGCATCAAAGAAAATCCACCACAATTATCTGAAGAAATTGCTGAAATACTTCCTTTCCAATTATGTATCTGTATGAAGAAATATTTTTATGTTCTTCAGATAAGTTTATATCATTTGAACATAGAAGCAAGTATAAGAATATAGCTAGATTTTACTAAACTAGACATTAAAATTGTCATATATAAAACAATTCTACCCTTTTTCTCTGGTTCCTTTGGAAAAGCTATAGTTACTAAAATTGTTTTTTATATTATTGTTTATTGTACTTATTTTGATTTTTAATGAGTATTTTTAAGGTATTTAAGTTTTAATTTCTTATTGCTATATTTATTTATATATCATTGTATATAAAAACATGAGCTATCAATCTATCTCAAATAAGTATTTTTCTTGAATTGTTACAATCTGTATACGAATGCCGTGTTATGTTTTTAATTCAATGCTGTCTGTGCTGGCCTTACACTTGTGACTCTCCTGACTCAGCCTCTTGAGTGCTGGGATTACGGTGTATATCACTGTGCCCAGCTGTTTTTATTTATTTTAGATGCTTTTTTTCCAGTTGTGGTGTGTAATTTCTCTATTGACTTTTATGTCATTTTTTATGCTCATTTTTCTTGACTCCTATATGTTTCCTTTTTAAAAAGCTTATTATTTAAAAAAAAATCTGAGGATTTTAGTTTTTATAGGCTGTTGCAGGGGTCCCTGCATGCTTGGTGATCCCTACAAGGACATAAGTAAGGTGAGCAACTGTACAATAGAATTGGCAAAGGCAGAAGCATAGGCAGAGGCTAGAGCAACCCCTGCACAGGCTTCCCACACACTTTCATGAGAGGTCTCATGGAGCCAATACTGCGCTTCTGCCCAGGGACCTGTTAGAAACTCAGCATCCAGTGCTTGTTAGGAACCAGCCATGTAAGCCCTCTCTGCTTTAGTAAGTGAAGAAGTCCAGACTCCACAGAGAAGACAGATGGGTAAAATGGTTTCATTCTGAGGAAAAGGGATCCCATTTGCATGAAGAAATTGTTGACCTGCAGGGGCTGATCTGTAAGGAGCTCAGACCTGCTAGTTAACTCTTCCATACACAGAGCTGGTGTGTATACTTCTAATTGACATTCAGAAGCGGGCACTTTGGATGCAGTGGTGGACAGCATTTGGGGGACAATGGCTTTATGAAAAACTTAGTTATTTAATGCTTCCCACTCTAACTCTCTTTTTCGGAGCGTGGGTACTGAGATTTGAACTTTGGCCTCACAGTGTGTAAGCCAGGAGTGGGGGGTTGGGATGACACCCTCCTGATTGACAGAAGCAGCAACAGAGCTCTCTGTCTTGCAAGGTGAATATTTCTGATTTTTAATATTTTAATTGATTTATTTTCATTTTTACATGTCTTCTATCTGAAAATCATTTTCAGTGAGATTTTGGAGTGTGCTTGAAAAAAAAATACATGTTCTCAGTTCTAGATGTTGTACTGGAACTCAAAACTAATTATAGATTCATTAGAAATCTTTTGATTTCTAATCAAAAGAGTCTTTTTGACTCTTATTTTTTCTAAAATTTACTATTTCATTTTAGAGCCTTGTCATACCTAAGTTTGAACAGCAAAGTACAGTGGTCAGGTGCACACCCTGTGCAACCAGGCTCCTTAGATTAGAATTTTCATTTTGAACGCATAGGCACTGGTGGCATGTGGAAGAGTCCCTGTGTCCTTCAAGTTCTTCATGACAGACACAATCATACTGGTCTTAAATGATGTTGAGATATTTAAATGATTTGCGATTTGTAGAGTGCCTATTATTTGATATTTAGTAACTCACAGATAAATGAATACCGGTATCACTGTATATAAAAACATGAGCTATGAATCTATCCCAAACAATTATTTTTCTTGAATTGCAATTTATGTATGAATTACTTGGATAACTGTGTTTGTGTCTTTCTCTGTTCAATTTTTTATAGCTTATCGTGAGCCCCATTTTTATTACCAGTTCACAGCTCGATATCATGCGGCTCCCTGCAACAGTATCTATAATATTTCCTTTGAGAAGAAACTTCTTCAGATTTTAAGCAAATTGGTTCTTGACCTTTCATGTGAAATTTCCTTACTTAAGTCTGAGTGCCATCGTATTAAAATGCAAAGAGCTGGTTTGCAAAATGAATTGTTCTTCACATTTTCAGGTAAGTATATAAAATTCTTTGAACAAAACAATTTTAAATACACATTGTGAATTAGCAGCATGCTTACAATATAAATTTTATAAAACAAAATGTATTTCCTATTGTCGGTTTTTACTTGGTACTAATAGCCCTCCAGATAAAATCATGACTCATGCACGTAAGGAAAAGTTTACTCTCAGAAATAACTTAAACCTTGCTATAATAGTTTACTGTAGAGTGGAAATTAGTACAAGATCTATCATGATGTTTAGTTACAAAGATTTAATTAGTAAAAGCATCTAATCATAAAATAGGCTAACTTTGTAAACCAGAAGAGTCCTTCAGATTAGTGGGCTTTTCTTAATAATGCAGAGTGGAGGGCCATTAGTTTCTGGGAAACAGAGAATTGGACTTGATCTCTAAGGACCATAGGTTTGTACGTGGTCTGTTTATGAACGATGTCATGTGTTTGACAGGATGCCCCACCCATTTCATCTCCCATCATCCTCCTTTTCCTTGATTTGTCTGCTGTCAGTATTCAATTGTATTTACCAATTTCTGGAACTTTTCCACTCTCTCTTTCTGTATATCTCTCTTTCTCTTCATTTTTCTTTTTTGGTCATCTAGGACTGATTCTGAGAGACACAGTTGAGAGGCATGAATTTTTGTCTTTCATTTTCCTTACTACTTTCTCTTTTCTTCTCCAGAAAAATGTTGAGAGTATTTCAGCAGCTCCTGACACAAATTACCAGAGATAGAGCAGTTCTTTTTTCACTTGTTAAGGGTCCATAATTAGCATTCACGGGAGTTATGAAAGAAATCTTTAGTCTCTGGTCTTGTTAAATACAAGGACAAATCGTTAGAACCTTGAAGTTACATTTGAACCTGTAAGAGAAAAGAGTTGATAGCCAATAGAAATTGCTTCTGTGAGCCCTGTGCCTTCCCCCAGTTTTATTCTCAGTATTAGGAATTAAACTCAACCTTGCACATGCTTGGCCAACAATCTGCCACTTGAGCTACACCCCTGTTCTTTTGCTTTTAGTTTGTTTTTCAAAAAGGTTCTCATGCTAACTTTGCCTGTGCTGGCCTTAAACCTTAATCCTCCTGTCTCTACTTCCTGAGTGGCTGAAATTACAGGAATATGCCACCATGCATGGCCTGGGTTGTATGCCTTTTGTTTTTGTGTTATAAAAGTTCTTTATATATCATGATACTGGGTCCTTATTAGATATATGACATGCAAATATCTTCTTGCATTTTGAAGGTAGTTTATCACTTTTTTATCATGAACACATAAGGATGTCTTATTTTAACATTACTATAATACTATTATCCTTGTGAACATAAAACACAGTACTTTTTAAAAATAGTTTTATTGTCATATTATTGTTGTACTGGGGGTACTCTGTGACATTTACAAAAGTTCTTATAATATATCAGAGTTAAATTTATCCTTTCCATCATTCCCCTTTATCCCCTCCCTCCATTCTTAGAATAGTTTCAGCAGGTATCATTTTCCCATTTTTATACATGAGTACATAATATTTAATAGTGTCATTTGATAGAGAGTTGATTTTACTTTTGATGAAGTCCAATATATCTCTTTTTTCTTTGCTTTTTGTACATTTGGTGTGGTATCTTAAATCTGGGGTCATCAAGATTTGCCCATTTTTGTAGTTTAACATTTTATATTTAGGTCAAAGATCCATCTTGAGCTTAATTTTGTATATACCTTTCAGGGCCATTTGTTGAAGAAAGTGTTCTTTCTACATTGAATAGTTTTGCCATCTTGTTGAAAGCTGATTAGCCATAGACATATGTGCTTGTTCCTGGACCTTCAGTTCTGGTGTATTCTATTTTTCTGTCCTTAGGCTACTGGCATACTGTTTTGATTACTGTAGCTTTGGAATAAGGTTTGAAATCAGGAAGTGTAAACCCTCCAATATTGTACTTCTTCAGTGTTTTTATGAAAGTTTGAAGTTGATTGTGGTTCCATATGAATTTTACTGTGTGCTCCTCCATTTATGCCAAAAAGGGCCATTGCAGTTTTGATAGGGATTGCATTAGGTCTGTGTGTAGGTTTTGCCAAAGTGTCGACTTCCAATCCATGAACACAGAATTATCTTTCATTTCATTTGTGTGGGACCGTATTTTCTTTCAGCAGTGTTTTATAGATTTTAGTGCCGCAGAGTTATTGGAGAATTTATTTCTTGCATGTTACTCTTCCTGATGCAATTATAAGCACAATTATTTTCTTGATTTCCTCTTCATATTATTCATTGCTAGCTTATAGAAGTATGTTGAGTTTCTTAAGTATCCTACATCTTAGTTGAATTCAGTTATTAGGTCTAATAGTGTTTTTTATTTTGTTTGTTTTCGTGCAATCTTTAGTATCTAGTTTTTTTATATATAAAAGATTATGTTATCTGTGGATCGCAGCAGTAGTTTTATTCTTCCTTTCCATATTGAATAAATTTTACATCTTTTTCTAGATAATCACTCTTGCTGTAACTTATAGCTACAGCATTTTGTAGAAGTGGTGGGTATTTTTTTTGTGTGTGTGTGTGCTGCTGGGTTTTGAGCTCAGGGCTTCCCACTGCTGGGCAGGGGCTCTACTACTTAAGCCATGCCTTCAATCCTTTTTTCTATGGTAAATTTTGAGATAGGGTCTTGCTTTTTGCCCAGGATGATGATCCCCTTACTTTATGCTTCCTGCTGTAGCTGCGACAAAAGTAGCATTACACCATGCACAGCTATAGGTTGTAGTGGGGTCTTATGAAATTTTTGCTCAGATTGGCCTTGAACCATGATCCTCTCCATCTCAGCCTCCATGGTAGCTAGTTTTACAGGTGTGGGTCACCAGCGTCCAACTGAAAGTGGACATTCTTGCCTTATTCTTGATCTTAGGAGAATGTTTTCAGTGTTTCATTATTGAAAAACTAAATATCACCTGTGGGTTTTTCATAAAGGCTCTTTATCAGATTGAGGAAATTCCCTTAAATTCCTAGTTTATTGAGTACTTTTATCAAGAAAGGATGTTTGTTTTTGTAAAATGCTTCTACATGCAGTGAGATGATCATATGGGCTTCCCCCCTTCTATTAATGCAGTGTATTATAATTTTTATTGTTATATGTTGAATCATCTTCACATTCTTAGGTTATTTCCCACTTGGTTATGTTGTATATAATACTTTGATTATGGTGCCGGAATTTGTTTTTTTCCTACATTGAGGGTTTTTTTTTTCTGCATTTATAATGGGTATTGGCCCATATGATGTCATTATCTGGCTTTTGTGTCAGGGCAATGAAATGTGTTACAAATGATCCCTCCTCTTCTGTTCTTTGAAAGAAATTGGGATGAATTTCTTGTGATTTTTCTTTAGAATTCACCGTGGAAGCAGCTAGGCCCTATGCTTTTTTTTTTTTTTTTTGGGAGGTTGTTGATAACTTTACCAGTCCCCTTATTTAGTCACATGTCTATTCATAGTTTCTGTTTTTTCTTGAGTCAGTTTTAGTACTTTGTGTTTCCAGCAATTTGTTCATTTTAGCTAGCTTACCTAATTTGTTGTTATATAATTGCTTGTAGTATTATCATGTAATTATTTTCTTTTCAGAAAGATGGTATTATCTCTACTTTGATTTCCCTTTTTCACTTAGTCTGTTTAGGTAAATGTTCATCAGTTTCATTGTTCTTTTTGGTATTCCTTGATTTTTCTTTATTATTTTTTCCTAGTCTCTATTTTGTTTTCTATCTCTTCTAGTATTTATTCTTAAATTCTTATACTTAAATCTTTTTGGTGGCTTTGGTTTTTATTCTTAAATTCTTATACTTAAATCTTTTTGGTGGCTTTGGTTTTAATTCATTTTGTAGTTCCTTAAGGTGTGTTGTTTTTTTTTTATTCCTCTTCACATATTTTCTATCTTCCCTTGTGATTATTATTGACATATTGTGTATGTTGGTTAATTTCCACATATATGTAAACATTTAATTTTCCTTCTATTAATTTCTGGTTTCATTCCTTTGTAGTTATAGATGATATTTATATCCTCTATAAAATGATTCTAATCATTTTATAATTATTGTGACTTTTGTGGGCCATACATATATGATCTATCCTTAAGAAAATTTTTATGTCTGTGTGTCTTCTCCTGCTGTTTGGTGAAATGATCCATATATAGCTTACATGTTCACCTCTTGTTTTACCTTACTGATGTTTTGAGTTCTTCTTATATTAATTTTTAAAGTGGGGTGTTGATGTATTCCAACAATTACTGGGATGTGATCTACTTTTAAATTCAATTTTTATATTTTTGACTATTCTTATAGGCATATGTACAAATTTTGTATCTTTTTTGAATTGGCCCTTGTGTTGAAACATACTGCATTTCTTTGTTTCTTGTAACAATTTTTAACTTATAGTCTCTATTTATCTGATATTTTACAGCTATAATTGCTCTGTTGGTGACATTTTACATGAAATAATTTTCTCTTGTTAGTTTTAATGTTTTTTTTTCATCTGTTTGCATATCTTACAGACAGCAAATAGTTAGACTCTGTATTTTTGTCCAATATGACAATCTCTGCATTTTAATTGAGCTTTTTGTTAACACATCTAAATTAGACTATTCCCACTGAAAATTATTACTAGTAAGGAAGGAATTTTTTTCTTTGGCTGTTTGTTTTCTGTGTCTTGTGTCTTAAAACATTAATGTACTGTTTTAGGGCAGCTTTAGTTTTGTGCAAAAATTGAGTGAAGTAAATGGAAATCCCATATTTATATGTAAAGACAACATGAATCTAAGATTGCTTAGATTTTTCTCCTTTGTTATTAGTTTCACAGATTTTGGGATTACACTGATATCTATGATTTATTTAGACTTCATCTGGTGACTCAAATCTGTTCTTCAAAACCTTTAGTGAATTCCTCTCAGTAGTAATTTTGTGCTTCTGGAATTGTTATTAGACTTGTTTTTATAATTACTTTCACTTTATTCATATTCTTTGTCAAGGCAGAATTTGCCTGATTTTCTTTTATTTTCTCTCCATCTTTGAACATATTAAAGATAGTTAATTCAGAGATGTGTCTGGTAAGTCTAAAGTCTGTGCTCTCTCAAGTGCTCTATGGCTTCTAAGGTAGAGGAAATGATAAGGAGATCCATAATTAAGAAGATCCATGGAAAATTATTAGTGTCTTGAAAGAATTCTATAGAAAATAAACAACTTAAGGTCATGTACACACACAGATGGCATAGAACAGAGTTGGGAACGTCTAGAATGACTGATGGGATATTGGTAGGACCCTGGGGAAATGAAATTGTCAAGATAGGCAATGGTTAAATTATAGATAGTTTTGATTGCTAGATTGAAGTATTTATAGTGTCAGTCATATTCTCACAGCTGTAAAAATGTCAAAAATTATGTTATTCAGCCTGTTGTTTTGCAGAGAAGGATGTGGAAATCTTAAGAAGAGATTAAATAAGATGCCTCTGTTTGTGAGTGCTAGATCTATGGCTGCAAGTAAGATTTCCTTCCATATATTTTGATGAATAGTGGGAAGTAACTAAAGGGTTTTGAGCTTTGTGGTTATGAGATTGATGTTATAACAGAATTTAATGGAAATTCTTTTTTTTTTTTTTTGGTGGTGGTGGTCCTGGGGTTTGAGCTCAGAGCCTCATGCTTGCTAGGCAGGTGCTCTACTGCTTTGACCACTTCACCAGCTTATTTTTGTGTTGAGTATTTTTGAGATAGGGTCTCATGAACTGTTTGGGCTGGCTTCGAACCTCAATCTTCCTGATCTCTATCTCCTGAGTTGGTGGATTACAGGTGTGAGCCACCAGCGCTGGGCTAATTAATGGAAATTCTTGAAGTCACCTTTTGTTTCTTGTTCCTCTTTTGATTTTTAAGTCTTGGCAGTATAACAGAAATTTTTCTCAGATGATCTTGCAGAGGTATTTCTTATTTCATATTGCTAAATCCATCTAGTCAGATGGATTTCTGATTAGATGGCCTTGTTTTTGTTCACTTAAGTATCACACATACATAGAATAATGTCTGGCACATAGTTGGCTCTGGGAAATTATTTATTAAATAAATGAATTCATACATGCATGAACATGGTTATCATTTCAATTGCCATAGCCACTACCATTATTCAGTCTCAGTCCCTTTCTAATATTGCAACCACAGGTTACCTTACCTTAATAACTTTATAAGCAGAGATTAAGAACTGATTTAGTCTAGTGACACTCACTGTAATATATGAGCAGAGTTAAATGAAGAATTGCATGAATACACACACACTCATGCACATACATATACACTTATACCTACATGTGTTAAAAAGTTGAAATAATTACATAAAATCAAAATAGTCACACATTAATTATCAAGACATTTAATTCTTAAGTTTTTGTAGAAGTGAGGTTTTCCTGATTTATGTAAGACAAATATCTGGCTTAGGATTTTGCTAGACTTATTTAGCATTAGAAAAAAAATGCTTAAATTTTTAAAGAGGAATACTAGCCAAATGATCTGTTTCCTTTTTCAAAAGCCAGTTTAAATACTCTGATACAGCATGTTAGACCCATGGTAAAATATAATATATTTTGTCAGTTTCACCTCTAGACACTGACAAAGGAGCCAAGCCATGTACAGACCACCATCATTGTGAATCTTCCAGAAGACTGTCTAAGGTATGTTATGTATCACTGGAGAAAGAGCAGACAACTCAAGTGAACATGCTCAGTTATAAGTAAGCTGATATCTTAGCTGTCTGTAACACACATCAGACCTCCACAATTAGGCATTTCAACAACAAAAATGCAACTTCACCCAGTAATAAGTAAGGAATTCATAAAATTGATATATTAGAAACACTTTCAAGTTTAATATTTTGTAATTGTTTATATGAAGGAGAGTTTTTCATTTATTTGGCCCCATGTTAATTTATAACTTTTATTCACAAGAAATTATGGCTAGAATTTTTCCCAGTTGTTTCAATTTCCAGTAGATATTAACATATTAACCTTATATCACAACCACTTTACTAAATTCACTTGTTACAGCATTTATTTTATATTGATTATTTAGGATTTTTGTGTAAGCCATCATGTCATCTATAAACAGAGACAGCATTACTTCTTTCTAATTTTTATGTCTCTGATTTCTTTATCTGATCTTGTTTGAATAGCTAGAATCTGTAGTACAACATGGACTAGATGTGGTGAGATTGGGCATCTTTTTCTTTTCCCTAGTCTAAGTCTTTCTAGAATGATGCTTTCATAGAGGAATGAGGAAGTTCCCGTTTAGTCCTCTTTTATTGGATTATAGTATGAATGTGTGTTACATTTTATCTAATACTTTTTCTGATTTTATTAACAAAAACATGTATCTGTATTATGTTTGTTAATGTTTAATGATTTATTATATGTGTTTTTCCCACTTTTCTGCACTCTGTATTCTGAGAAGTGTCACAAAATCTGTAGCTGTGTTTTAAAACTGCTACAATTTAAAAGAAACATTCACATGTCAGTCATTTTTGCACTGTTAACTAAAAATTATAGAGATAATTTTAGATTAACATAGTTATAAAAATACTTCTGTTTCTGTACATGTTACAGACATATTACAATTAGAGACATTGACATTAACATACTCTTACTTTAGCTTTTCTGTTTACTTGTATCCATTTGTGTGTCACACTGTATACATTCTCATCACCTGGATAGGATCATGCATCCACTACTGTAGTCAAAATATAGAACAGTTCCTTCACCATCAGTGCCCCTTCCCTAATGCCTGGCATTCATTGTTCTGTGCTATGTTTTTACGGCAGCATCATTTAAAAATTTTCCAGAGGCTCACCCAAGATGAGTTAATCATTCATTCCTTTACCTTAGTATGCCATGATGCTTGTATCACAGCTGTTTAACCTTTTGAAGGACCAGCTGTTCCCTACTGTAGTGAAAGCTTCTGTAAACTCTCATATTCAGGTTTTTATGTGACAAGAAACTCACACTTGAGACATTAATTCTTTGCTGTGTTATAGTTGATTTTATATTCTTCCAGCCACGTATGGGGGAGCAGTTATTCCTGTCTTTATTGCCACTGGTGGTGTTAGTATTATTTATGCTGGTGATTCTAATATTTGTGTAGCAATAAAAATTGCATTGTGATTTTAATTTGCATTTCTTTAATGGATAATGGCATTAATCAAGTTTTCATATGCTTATTTGCCACGTGTACATCTTTGGTGAAATGTCTATTAATAGTTTTGTTCATTTTTTAATTTTTATTTTTTAACTGATAAATTTAGAGAGTTTGTCAAGCATTCTGGATAATTGTCCTCTTTCCAATTTGCTGTTTTGTAAGTACTTTTTCTTAGTCTCTAGCTGTCTTTTTAAATTTTAACATGGTTTTTTCACATATTTAAAACTCTAATGAGATCAAGTGTAGCAGTTTCCCCCTTCCCCCCCATTTTTTTTTTTTGGTTTGTATTTTCAGTGTGAAACCTAAAAACTCTTCATGGTTCTGCATCCTGAGGATTTTTCCCTATGTTTTTTAAGTTTTACATTTTTCAATCAAAGTCTGTGGCAGTTTTTCAATTAACTTTAGTATAAGGTTGATATGTGGCAAAAGGTAATGTGGTTGTTACTGTTTTATGGATGTCCAGTTGCTCCAGAGCTAGTTGTTGAAAATGCTGTTTTCCTTGGGTAACTTTGACAGGACTGGTGGGGGACAAAGAGGGAGGGGGAAGGGAGAAAAGGGAAAGGGAGGAAGGAGATAGAGAGAGAGAGAGAGAGAGAGAGAGAGAGAGAGAGAGAGAGAGAGAGAGAGAGGGAGAGAGAGACAAAGGGGGAAGAGAGAAGATAGCACTTCCAGGCATAAGTGCCGTTAATGGGGGAGGTCAAGGCACAGTACACAGAAGGTGCAATTGTACAAATTCATCTGAATGTCACAAGGTCACAGTCAAGGAAAGGCAGAAAAGGAAGCTTGTGGCAGGGATCATACTGGTGGATCTGTCTGTCTGGGTGGGTGCTCACAGCCTGTTTGTGGGATTTGAGGTGTCAGTAAAATATGAACTTCAAAAAATTCACAGTATGCCTTCCAATTTGTATGTATGTTTACTTATTTATTTATTTATTGTTTTGGCTCATTTTAGTGACTAGAATAGCAGTAATGTGTTTAGAGTGGTAAGGAAACATTCGTTCTTTGTTATTCAGTTTTAAAGAAGGTATTAACGTTTTCACCATATTATTTGTAGATGCTTTTAGAAAATCATTTGACCATATGTGGAGATTATATGTTGGTCCTTTGTTCCTTCACATCAGTCTATATGTCTGTCTTTATGCCAGTACAGTGTTATGATTACTCTAGCTTTGAAATAACTTTTGAAATCAAATGTTATGATTCTTCCAACTTTGTTAAGATTGTTCTGGCCATAAGGGTCCCATGAACATATATCATAGAATTTTATGATGGGTTTTTCTATTTCTACAAAAAATTCCCTTGGGATTTTTATAGGGTTTACATTAAATCTATAAATATCTTTGGGTCCTGTTGCCATTTTAGCAGTATTAAAATGTTCTGATCTGTGAATGTTTGATATCTTCCCATTTATTTGTGTCTTCTTTAATATTTTTAGCAACATTTTGTTATTTTCAGTGTACAGGTCTTTGACATCCTTGGCTAAATTTCTTCCTAAATTTTAATTCTTTACTATGTGACTATAAGTAGACTTTTGTTCTACTTATAGCCAGTTTTTGTTTAGTATACTGCAACTATGCTGAATTCATTTATTATGGCTTCTTTTTCATTCAGTGGAATCTTACGGGTTTTCTACACTTAAGATCATATCATCTGTAAACAGATAATTTTACTTTTTCCTTTTCAAATCTGATTCTTTATATTTCTTTTACTTGTTTCATTGCTGTGCCTGTCACTCCCAGTACTGTTCTGAGTAGAAGCAGCAAAATCAGGGATCCTTGTCATAGTGTGGATTATAGAGGAAAAGCTGTCAGTCTTGCAGTATTCAGTATGATGTTATCTGTGGACTTCGCTTATGTGACTTATTTTCCTTTTATCTTTGATCTTCGAGTGTTTTATCATGAAAATATATTAAATTTTTAACATGCTTTTCCAGCATTTTGAGAAAATGATGTATTTTTTCCTTTATTCTGTTAATATGATACATTACAGGGATTGGTTTTTAAATACACCATTTTTTATATTTTTGGAGATTAAGTGATATTTTATTTGAATAATTTAGCCAGTTTCTAAATTAAAGAATTCATTTCCAAGTGCTGCAGTGGCAATTTCTTTTAAAGGCTATCAGTAAAAAAAATCAGTAGCTATTACAGACACAACATCCATATCTATTCACGCTGCGAAATTTCTGTAACTATAAAGATACCCTCACCCACGTGTGTGTGTGTGTGTGTGTGTGTGTGTGTGTGTGTGTGTGTGTGTGTATGAGTGTATGTGTGCATGAATGGTGCTAAACAATAGGGAACTTTGACACCAAAGTCAAATGATAGCAATTTCTGGAGACATTTTTCACCAGAGCTACCTTGTCTATTAGTTACAGTTGACATTGTCCCCAGGGCATAGAATCCTTAAAAGGCCTGGAAAAACAATTTAATGTTCAAATTAGAAAAATAATATGAAAATGTGTATAGTTTAGCCTGCATTGTACTAATCTTTATACCAATACAATACATGGTATTGACTTGTTTAAATATACTGTTGAATTCTGTTTTGTCGAGAATTTTTGCATCATTATTGCTCAGGAATATTCATTTATAGTTTTCTTTAGTTACAATTTTTATCAGCATGATGTTAACTTCTCTGAGTCATGAAGTTTTCCCTACTCTTTAACTTTTGGGAGCGTGGAGTAGATTGGCTTCAATCCTATAAATGATGAATAAAGTTATTAGTGATGTCATCTGGTGCTGAGCTTTTCTTTGCTGGGAGGTGTTTGGTTACTGATTCAACTTCTTTTCTAGTGATAGGTCTGTTCAGATTTTCTGTTTCTTCATCAGTCAGTCCTTGTAGGTTTTTTATTTCCAGTAATTTGTCCATTTCATTTAGGTTATCCAATTTGTTACTATACCATTTGTAGTCCAATAGTATAAATATCCACACAGCAGACTAAGAAGCTCTAAACTCTCATTTTCCCATGGAAACCCTGAATAAACAACAATGGATGAACCAAAAATGGATTCAAGAGAGCCACAGAAACCTATAGATAAGATTCAGCAGCAATTGTAAGACCAAGAGATTTCACTAGTTTCCCTACCCTTGGCCTCGCCAGCCCAGCCTGCAGTGGAGCAGTATGGCATACTATTTTATCTTTAAATCACTGCTTAGATCACAAGAGAATCAACTCATGAGAAAGGATCAGCTGTGACCCACACATACACCACATGCTTATGTCACATGCTGATCATAGTAATGGAGTATAGTTTAGATTTTCCTCCAGAATCAGGTAGGGGTTATTACAAAAATTATTATAAAGTAATTTCAGTCATTTTAGCTTTGCAATAACCCATTTAATTTTTGCACAAATGAAAAATATATAGTACTTCTGATTCTTAGTTCGATTTTTATGATAACACATGAATCATCTTCATCGATGAATGTTTATTTCAAACATTGTGAATTTTAACTTACTGGATATTGGGAATTTTGGTAT